ACTGATTGATATATTGATTGAACGACTGGTGGATGGACAGGCACTCAGATCAATCTATTTATTGGCTGATTGATAGATAGATTGATTGACCAATGGACTGACACTCCGGCTCATTAATAAATTCACTATGAATGTATATTAAATGACTGATTGATACATTTAATCAAAAGTTAATACCATAATTCATTAGCTGAGTTGTTTAACAATTCAGTAATTAATTCTTAAATTTCCTGTCTGAGTTCTTGAACTCTGATTCGCTGATGGATCCCAAAGAACCTTCAAATATCATTCTTTAATTTGCTAGATTTATATCATAATTCCCCGAGTTTAAATTCAATTGGAATAACTTAAAGTTCCAACTTAAAGACACCTTCACTGGCTGAGTTGCGGAAATGGCAACATCTCGGCAAAAGTTGGAGCTCAAACTCATATCGGTGTGGGAGATGCACACGAAACCCTGAAACTAGTTGGCACAAGTTTATGGCTAAACAAATTCGAGAGCTCGGGCGAGAAGTGAAACTCAATTTTTGCACAACAATGCGTCCATAATTACTGTGGATAGTCAACAGGCAAACGAAATCGAATCAAATCAGAAACTTTAAATCTTGGGGGCTAAGTCGGACAGCAGCTGCAGCTAAACAGTGCTCCCCCTGCCCCTGCCTCCCCCCTTAATCGTCTCGTTGGCGGACACGGGCTCATTCAATCGTCAGTTCCAGCAATTACACGCATTTTGCGCAATTTAAACCAAATGCTAACGACAGCTAACAACCAGCCGGCAACCGACAACCGACAACCAACAAGCAATAGCCAACAGGCAAGAGCCGACAACCTTTGCGCTGCACCTTCGAGCAGCTGAAGCAAACAGGCGGGCAGGAGGAGTTGGGTCAGCAGCAGCCGTAGCAGCCGTAGCAGCAGGCAGGACCAGCCAGGCGTTTGATGAACAAAAAGTAGCATACTGTAAATCAAAAAGTAACTTGCCGTACGGATGTCATTCGTTGCAGATCGTTCGAGCGCAAAATTTAACAATGACACAAACACAAACTTTGGACCAGCACCAGCAACAACAACAACAATGGGTTGCGTAGAACATCATGACGACACACGCACACACAAGAGATAATACCTTATAGCACACACCTACAACATACGCCGAGTTGGGCATTGACTTTGGCTCTTGGCATAGGGGCAAAAGTTGCTCATGCAGAAGCTGTCATGTCCAGCACTCAAATTTCTAATGCTGGCCCAAAGGGCTGTGCGGGCGGCTGTTGGCGTGTGTGCGTGTGTGCGTGTGTGTGTGTGCGTGTGTGGTGCGTGTGTTCAGGCAACACTTAAAAGTCACAGGGGCGTGGCAAGTTAAATGAAATGCACATTGATGCGGCATTTGTGTATCGTTTCAGCAGCCGCTGCAAGTGACAGAGTCAAGGGGCAGAGCAGGAGGCGAGTGTAGCCTTGTGGCAGACAGGTAGATCACTGCCACTGACGCCAAGTGAGATAAATGCCAGCTAAATCAACAGGGAACAAGCCGTAGTAGCAATCGGGTATATTGGATTGCTATGGAGAGCTCTACCAGCAGACGAGACTATTCAAATTTATATTGAAATCTCTTTACTTGAGCTGATACAAACATCTAATATACCCTAGATCCCATTGAGCTGGAGAGCAAACGGAGCGCAACCTGTGGCAGCAAACGACAGCTGCAGCTGGTGCCTGGGCTCTGCCTGGCGAGCAAAGACACTGCCACAGCCAACTTCGACCAAAAAAAAGCTCAATCAATAACCGTAACGTTAACGTTGTCAGCACAAGCATACAATAAACTAGGAGCGAAGGATCCTCATGTCGAGCCGAACTCTGAATGCGCTAACTCACTTATTGCTACTTCAAATAAAAGGGACAGGGAAAAAAGAGAAACTCTTTAGAATTTGTGTAATGTTGTATATAAAGGTCGTATAATATTCAAATATTTATATTTACTTACTGATATTTAATAATATTTGACAATGCATTGCATACGTCAAAAACGCTTAAATCTTCTATTAAATTTTATATGCATTAAGAAGTTTTCTCTTCATAAAAAAATAAAATAAAATAAAATAAAAGTTTAACAAATATTACATTAAAAATTGACTATTATTCCTATTGAAACCACTATACAGTTTAAATATATTTATTAATTCTATTAAATATTATTATACTGTGTATGATGTACTATAATAAAAATATTTTTCTAATTTATATAAACCTGGTATTTATTTTTTTTTTTAATTTTTTTTTTTTATTTATTTTATTAAGTGTAGTGTATTACCGGTACAAACAAAAAATTTATTTATTATATGAAATATTATCCAGCCACCTTGACTATGAATAATTGAGAAGATTTTAGACTAAACAAGAATCACTTGGCTATTATTCCACATGTCATCTCTTAAAACAAAGCTGTAATATCCTGTTCATGCATGCATATCGAACCAATACCTTGCAATACCCTAAGCGAAAGTGTGTGACAAAATGTTGCAACTCTTTGGCGCGCCATTTCAATAAATTGTGCTGCCTGTTGACAAGCCGCAAAGTATGCTTTAAAAATGGCTTAGCTACCGACTCGCGCACACTGAGTGTGCATGTGTGTGTGTATGTATGTGTGTGTGTGGTAGACGAGGACAGAGCCAGGCAAGGCATGGCAAACGCGATTTTTATCGCAATTCAATAGAGTTTCCGTAACATTAGGCCACGGGCTTTGTCTTGGTGCGGAACTAACAGCGCCATATTTGTATCCGTTCGACGTGTCAACGTGTATTGCTTCCGTTTGTTGTTTGTTATTGGTTTCGCCTGTGCAGCAGCCGGTGCACCTTGCCAAGGATGCCAGACAGACACACACACTCACACACACACGCGCGCACACGTACAGAGATTGGTGACAAGCATTTGGGTTAAGAGCGTTATTGAAATTTTATGTTGTCTGCGATTTGCGTGAAGTGGATTTGCGTCTTTGCTGCTGATTTATGGCCCGTCGTTGGCAGCGAGAGTTCACTTTAAGCAGCGCTTTAAAGCATTCGCAGCTAATTACGCACCACAAATAATATTTACGTTATTTGGCCAACCCCTTGCGCTGTCAAAGGGTTGGTTTATCTTTGGTCTGGCATTAAAAACTTTTCGCTGGTTTTATTTTTCTTTGAGCTCAGAAATTGAATTAACGGGCGCGCCCTGCTGAGATGTCAATTTGGCTGACAGTGGCTGATAGGTAAAGGAATCTGGCATTCACCTTGAGACAGCTCATTAGAATTCCGTTTTGGCTTGCAAGTTGTTTGTCGTTTGTTTACCTTGAAATTACGAATGCAAAAAATAAACCGAGCAGCTGGAAGAGGACGTAATACAGATGCTACTCCTGCTGCTGCTACTCCTGCTCCTGCTACTAGCTACCGAAGATGCAATGTTAAGTGTCTGTCAGGCAGCTGAATTATTTATGGCACTTGCCGCAACAGCAACGGCAACGGCAACGGCAACGGCGGCAACAGATTACAAGATTAAATTATTGTAACAAGCGCATTACGTAACTGCTTTGCATAATTTACCGCCACGAAAGGCCACAGAAAGAAAAGAAAAACAACATTCATCTTGAGCTTAAACAGCATTGGGAGCGTGCAAAAGTCGCCAGCCAAAACACAGAGGCGATAGGTAAAGGCGACGTAGGTGACACCGGTAGAGTCACGGGGTCGTCCCACCGGGCGAATGCGCAACATTTTTGCTTACCACAATTTGTCACTGTGCCTGTGCATCGGCGTCTTGGCTGCCCGTCCCCCACGTCTGTCTAATTTGCATTTTAATTTAATTTTTTCCATGCCGCAAAATGTCAACAAAACACCGCAGACGCTCGCCGAGTCAGTTGCAGACGTTGCCAACTTCTTGCAGCGCTGCTCATCAGCCTGGCTCCCCAAAAAAAGCGGGGGCCAGGTCTTTTGTTTGTTTGTCTACAGTTTTTCTGAGCGCACTTTTAATTGAGTCTTGCATATGCATGAGCAGCCGCAGCAGCAGCAGCAGCAGCAACAACTCAATTAAAGCGATTGCCGCGCCTGAACGTCAACTTCAAGTTCCACTTTAACCTCGACATTCGTCTTTGACGGCCTGAACCTTGAGCTGCTGACAAAATCAATGCGAACGCGACATTGAGCTGAATGCCCGAATCGTAAAACTTTCATCGATTGCTCGAACATAAAATGACGATATTGTCTGCGGCATAAAATTATGACAACCAGCCGCAGCAAAAGAGGCTTACGCGACTAGCAAATCCCCTGTAAATGGGCGTAAATAGATGTAGCTTAAAAAGTACTCCTCGTGAAATATATGCAATTCTATATTCCCTAAGGGAAAACAAGTGTGCATTATGGAGGAAAGTCTATAAGTTGAAAGTATATATGGATAGTCTATAGATGGATGGGCAGATGGGCAGCCAATGAATTGAATATCAATAGGTGGGAAGTCTGTAGATAAGAATTCTATAAGTGCGTGTGTGAAATTCGGTAAATGGAAAGTCTATATAAAGAACAAGAAGACATCTTTACGGAAAAGAAGTATGGGAAAGTCTATAGATAAAAAGTTTATAGATGATAGCTCTAGAAATGAAAAGATGGAAAGTCTATAGATATCTAAAGTCTATAGATAGCAAGCCAATAGATAGACAGTCAATAGATGATAAGTCCGTACATGGCAAGATAGAAAGTCTGTAGATGTTATAGTGGTTAGATGGAAATATAAGTATGTATAAACAAGATAGAAGAATGGGAAGTCTATAGATTGTAAGTGTTAGATAAATTGTACACAGATGGAATAACTTTGAAGCGCCAGTCTTCAACTATAAGTATCTATAGATAGACTTCAAAATCAATTCAATGTATTTAAGAACTTATTTCGTCAAGTATACCCGCCTTGCGACCACTTACAGGGCATTAGCACTTTGAATTGCCATAAAATGCCGTGCGGTAGACAAAAGAAATGCGGCGACCTTTGAGTAAACACAAAACCCGAATTTATGACGGCAACTTGTTGTGGCTAGCCGCACCACCACGCCCCGCCCCAACAGAGAGATACATATTGCATAACATTATAATGCCGTACAAGGTGGGCAGCACGAGAGTGTTCTGCAAGACTTATGGCTGCCAGATTCCCTTCTCCTGCTTTGCTGTTATAAATTCTAAAAAATGGTGGAAGCAAAAAATAACTGTCAGGCTAACCAATCGTGCAACCGTTATTACCTGTTGGCTGCCTGGCCTTCTGGCCATGGCCGTTGCAATGGTCGCGCTTCCGCTCAGGAGTCGCAGCGTTACGGCTCATAATTCGCTGAATTTATGAACTGTAACCGAGCGTCTAGTCCTGACAAAGAGCAGCGAGCAGACAGCGAATGGGTATTACCATACCAGAGAGAGAGATGGCCTTAGAGGTTAAGTGTGGTTATCAAATGAAAATGGATACATTGAAATGCGATTACAGATTGAGCAGAGCTCGTCTAACTAGCAGACGCACTAAACTTATCGATAAAGCTAGCTAGTGGCCGCTGTCACATATTTGCCGATATATATCGCACGCATGAGAGTAAATAATTAGATTTCATTTAAAAGAGGTTTTATCAGTCAAGCAAAGTCCGCTTCAGTGCAGTTCAGGCTCAGGCTAAGACTCAATTCGAATCAAGGTAAGCAGAGCTCTCACATCTCACAGATTTGCTGACTCGATTGTTATGTTAATTTCTTTCATTTGTCGAGTAACAAAGCGCCCCTTGAATACACCTCAATGCGGCAGGGCACGTACCTTGTTTGGGTTCACGTCGCTGCCTCGGCCCATGTCTAATTTGAAGACGAGAACAAGTTAATCTGCTCAATGAGATAAATACCTTTTGTGGCCGCCCCACCTGCCGCCGCCCTCCCGCACGGCGCATGGACGGCTGTTAACTGTTATCGAGGCACTTGGCACGCTCCCGAATTGCCACTTCAAGCGAATTGCCCAGACGAGGCGCAAACCTTGGCAACTTTGGCACGCAATGTCAAAGTGAGTTAACGACAATGAGCTTTATTACCTGACAGGCACTCCCCCTCTCTCCCAACTGCCCCCTCGCAGTTAATGTATTAATTTGAATTATTTTTCATTCCGCCTGCCTGCTGGCTGCAAATATGTTTGACATGCCAAATTTAGTGGAAAATTGTCGCATGTCATTGGGCAAATATGCAAGTGAAATTGTACGTGACTCCATTGCCAAAATACAAATAGAAAATTCGGCAGGTCCTGCCAGCTGCCAGTTGCCAGTTGCCATTCAGAGAGAGGGTGGACAATGCGACAAATTGGCCAGCAGCAGTGCGCTCCCCTCCCCCTCCCATCACTCGAGTTTTCCTTCCGCCAACCGCCCCTGCTGTAGACACCGTTGCGTTTTTCATTTTTCTTTCAAGGCTGCAGAAATTTAAAAAACAAATCACACACCTACGAGCAAGCACTCCAGCCCGCAAGACAAATTTCCGACATATACTACGTTTTGGGTCGGAAGTGCACAAAACGTTGACGGCGTCTCAAAGGACAACACACAGAGAAATATATATATAAAGGGAGAGATGGAGAGAGAGAGGGAGAGGGAGAGGGCGTGTGTTAGTGTGAGTGAGTGCCCGCCGGTAATGGAGTGGACTTTATTTGTGTGTTGTTGCTGTTGTTGTTGCTGCTGCTACTGCTGCAACGCATCAGTGGGCCACTGCTGCCGGCTGGCACCTTGTGCTGGCACGCTTCAGCAGCGCCGACGACCGTCACATTTGTCAGCCTGTACAGTGCGTCCTGCCATGTGCAGTGCATACCAATGCGCGCTGCTCAGTTAACAATGGAATGCTCACATACCCTGTAAACATGTGAACATGAATGCATTCATTGAGGAGTATATTAGAGGTGAATAGCTGATGCGACAGACGAATCTGCATTGAGGTACTCTGAGTAGTAAATTGATGTAAATATTAATTTAATATTATTCATTTAGTCAGCTATGCATGAAACTAACCTCCTCCATATTTAGAAAATATTTTAAAAATTTAATAAAATATTTTATTCAATATATATAAAATATAGATGATTTAAAAGGAATATTTAATTATTCTAATCCTTAATAACTAAATAAATCAATTCATTAGCTGAGATCAAATAAGATTCCCCCTTCCGCACACCCAAATTTAAGGGGTATCTAGAGACCAGCCCTGCTCTTGCTCATTTAATTTTTTCTGTAATCAAAGTCGCTTTTTCAGTTGTCAAATTTTGTTTACAGCTTACCTTCAGTTATACGTTGGGCAAATTCACAAAAGTCGAGTGAACATATTCTGGCTAGGTAATTGGCAATCGAACTGACCTGCAATGGAGTACATCATGGAAATGGCCGAGGCGGTTGCTCAGCAATCGAAGCAGGAGGAGGAGGAAGGCAGCCGCTTCAAGTCCGTCTTCACCATCAACGGCAAGTCCATTCTGCCGCCCCTGGTAAGTGCTAAAGACAGCTGTGCAGCCCTGCAGATGACTCTTCACCTTCCGCCTGCAGATGACGCCTGAGCGTCGCCTGGAGATGCAGCAGCTGCGACGGGCTGCTATGGCCATAGAGGAGCGCGGACGAGCGGGACGCCAGACGGCAAACTCGCCCAGTGGAGCCAAGGGGCAGGTGCTGCAGCCCAGGCGCGCAGCAGCAGTCTTGGATGCTAGCACCAACACCGAGTCGGAATCGGAGCTGGCGCAGCAGCCGCTGACTGTCGTCGGCCGCCTCAAGCAGCAGCTGCAGCAGTCCGAGACGCTGATCTACGACAACAAATGCAATGCCATCATCAAGCTCGTCAAGTCCAGCAAATTGCCGGCCAGGCAGCATATGGTGCGCGAGGAGTACCTGGAGGCCCAGCCACAGCGGGCAGTGCTCAGAGAGCCGAGCTTAGTCTGTGGCGTCGTGCTGAGCACCACGCTGGAAGCAGCTGAGCCCACGCCCAGCCAGCCAGTGCCAAGCCTTAGATGCAGCCCTCGACAACGGCTGGGGATGGCAGCGAACCCAGCGGAGATGAGTCCACCAAGATGCAGTCCGCCACACCAAATTCAGACCGTGCGGCAGCTGCTGGGCATCGCGCAGAGGCTGAACCTGTCGATCAACAAGCGGGAACGCGACCTGCTGCAGCGCGCCATCACGAGTCCTGTGCTGCGCCCACGAGCTGTGCCTGCGACGTCCGGCTGCGGCAGCATCACGGCCCACGGCGAGCGACTGCATCCGCAGCTGTGGAAGCGATATCACTCCTCTGTGGTTGCCCAGGATTACGATGTGCAGCAGAAGGCGGCTGCAGCGGCAACGGCAACGGCGACTGCGGCTGGAGCTGCAGCGGCGTCGGAGGAGGTGTCGGAGGCGTCAGCAGTGGAGGTGAGCAGCGCTGCGACCGTTTGTGCGGCAGCATCGCCGGATGTGCGTGTGTCGAGTGTGGCCCCCTCGCCCAGCAAGATTCAGGTGAAGCAGCAGCACTCGACACCGGAGCAGCGGAGCAGGACGGCCAGCAAGTCCGCGCTGCCCAAGTGGACCAACAGCAGCAGGAGCGGGAAGCCGACGCCGCGCGGTCGCAGCACTGTGAGCTACGCGGCACACGCCTCCTCGCACGCCAATGCCGTGCAGCAGCAGGGCGGCAGCGACAGCAGCACGCGGATCAGCAGCACTCAGCGGCGGCTCAGCTACGATCCGCGCGCCACGCTCAAGCGATCCGCCCCGCGGAAGGTCGAATCGAGCAGCAGCTGCGGCACGCTGCTCACGCCCAAGACGTCGCCGTCGCCGTCGAGCAGCAGCAGCGCCAGTCAGGCGCGGGCAGCGCCCAGTGGCGAGTCCAGCACATCGGAGCTGATCAGGCGCAGGCTGCTGGACGAGATGGAGCAGCAGCAGCGGCAGCGCTTCCAGCAGCTGGTCTCGCAGCAGGCCGAGGAGCAGCAGCGCCTGCAGGCCGAGTTCCAGGCGCAGCAGCAGCAGCTGATGGACCAGATGATCAGTGACATGAGCACGCTCACCTACGACAAGGACGGGCAGTCCGACCAGGCCGACCAGGCCAACTCGGAGTCCAGTTCGATCAGCTCACTGCCGCAGAGTCGCCTCGATCTCGAGCTAGACGAGCCAGACTCGGCCGACGTCTAACACCACTAGCACAAACAGCACCACTGGCACCACTGGCACCACTGGCACCACTCGCACCACTTTTGTAACAAATCCATTAATAAATAATAAAAATCCACATTCGCTTGGGCAACGTAGCCGCTAGCTAATTCACACATCATAAATGCGATTAATCGCAAATGCTGCCAGCAACAAATGCCAAATTTAGCCACCAACAGCAGCAGCAGGAGTAGCAGCAGGAGTAGGGGCAGCAGCAGCACCGCCTTGGCGCACCGTCTCTAATTATGCTCGGCGTCTGACGTCTGCCGGCACGATGCCACACAAGTTGCCAGCACGCCGAAGACGGAGCTGCCTTCACTGGTGCCCCACTTGCCCGCCTGCTTCACCTGCGCTGGCAACTCACGTTGATGTCTCTATACGCCGCGGAGCACTTGCTCGCCCATAACTCGGCGTGTTATTAAGTGTAAGAAATTAAAATTTCATAAATTGTTACGCTTTATTTAGAGCTCCAGTCTCACTCTCTCACTCTCTTGCTCTCCCTCTCTCTCACTCTTAATTGCCCGCCTCGCTCAACTGACGGATGCAGTGCATCGCCGTAGACGTGGACGCAGCCGTAGCGTGATTTGCGTATTTCGGAAACTTGCAATATTTGGTTTAAAGTGAACGTGGACATAATTAAAAGCACTTAAGTTGGCTTTCGCGTTCACTTTTTGACGCTGGTGGTGCTAGTGGTGCTGGGCTGGCGGCTCTATTGGAGCACCGCCAAATTGGCAGATGCACTGCCGATTGCCTCGGCCGCTTGAGTGCCTGAATGTTGCGTGCGGTCTGATCGTGATCGAGCCAATTGGAGTGCAGAGTATGAAACGCTTGAGATAATCAAAATGCTTAAATCAACGGGGCAATGAGCGTGGCAGTAGAAGTGGGCTGCATATGCCTAGGAGCCATTAATCTAATCCATTACTAGAGTGTAGAGATAAGATAATCTTAAGGGCAATTTAATTGTATTTAGTGAGAGATCTTCATATGCATTTATCAAATATTATGGATCCAAGAGATGGTTTTATAATGTCTTGAAGGCAATTCTATTGTATTTAGTTATAGATTTAAAAACAATATATGTTATATGGTATGGAGTCATTCAAGACAAGCATATAAAAAGCCAACAAATATTTTCATAAAATTGAATGCGAATTGAGTTCAAAAAAATGTCCTTCAAAACTATTTTAAGTATTTATTTCACCACTGTAAGACAATTTAAGCGTTAACATTGGGATAACATTGAAAAAATGTTATCGCTTCTATTCGCCTGGATGTATTCATAATGGAATTTCGCATAGCGCCTCACCTCAGCCAAATAATTTCTATGCACAAACTAATGAAGTTGCGAATAGTTTTGCCTAATCTCGTGTTTTTTCACTTGGCTAATCACAGAAAAGTTCTGAAGAGCAAAAGAGCAATAATTGTGAGGCGAAAATTCAGTGAAAATAATTTCGCGCTTCGTCTGCGAGTTTATTAAATGAACGAGAAGTGCACAAGTAACTGGCATTAGGATTTCATGACTAAAATAAACATAATCAAAGTAATAACTGAGCATTCCAACAGCACCACCCAAATGGGGCACATGTGAAATTAATCTTGTTTATGCTGCCAGGAGATGGCTCCAAGGGCTCGTGTCGAAACTTGGCGCCCGACCGAGCTGCCTTCAGCAAAAGTTTCGCTCGACAAAGTTATTTGAGTAAAAATAAATAAAATCGAATGAGTTCACATTTGGCATGGGTATTGATATAGCTAGGTATACAAGCCACATAAACAGATACACAGATGAATATATGTATGTACATATATGTGTGAGTGGATATACAGTTAGTTTTGATAATTTAATGCGTGTGTCTTGAGCTGTGCATGTGAACATTTAATTGAAATATTTTCAGGCATTTCAATAAAAAAGAACGCGCGAAACTGTTTTTCATGCAAATGTACAGACGGTGAGAGTGTGTGCGTGTGTGTGTGCGTGTACTGTAGGTGTTCAATAGACAAGGCGCAACCCTTGTTGGCTTATCCTGCTGAGCAGCAGAGGCAGCGACGTCGCCGTCGCACAGTGGGGTCTCTGCCGCCAGAGCGTGGCAAAAATAAGTCAAGTAATAACCGATTTTGTTTTTTTTGATGCCATTCAATTGGAAATTAACCACAAGATGAAGAATGAGTTTTAAGAATAGTTATCGACATATCGATATATTGATGTATTTTCAACAACACGTAGGTAGAAATGACGGCAGCAGACCGTTTGTTGAAAGGATTTGGGTTTTTCTAAATTGTCTTTAAAATTTCCGTTGCTGTCCCTTTTTGTTTCTAACTTATATAAAATATTGTCAACGAACACTTGTTAATGAAAACTAGGTACTCGTATGTGAAGAGGTCAAGGAGTTAACCTTTTAGTTGCATTACAGTTACCCAATGCATTTTATGCAACAATTTAGGTAGAATTAGGTCTAGGAAAGGGGTGGGTGTGAGTGCATTAGCCTGTCCAATTCTGGTATATAAGGACCTCCATTTCACTATTGAAGCATAGTCCTGCATTGGCTTTTTTAGAGCAGCCACTTCAGTGCATATTTTGAAATTGGTTCGCGGCTCGAACTATGGCTTTGTCAAACCAGACTTTGTTTGATCTGTTTCGTGACTGCAACGACTCGAAACTATTTTTGACGGAAGTGAAGAGAGCATTAAGTATGCATCGCAGCACATCGTTGTTGAGAGATGCATCACTGGAGCAGAAAGTTACGAACCTTTATTATAAACTCCGAGCGAAGTGGAAAGTGTGTAAACGGACACGAAGCCGCTTCGAAAGAAAAAATGTGGATTGGCTTCGTGCATCAACAGACTTTGAAAGCCATGAACTGGACAATGATGACATTCCAAGTACATCGGCAAATAGAGGCAGACCGATTAAAACTCTACAGGAATGCTCAACATATACAAGGAAAAGGAAACTTGGAGAAGTTGCTAAAGCCTTGTCAAAGGAACATCTGTCAGAGGCACTATCTATGAAATATGCAAAACTCAAGGAAAAAGGCAGATCGGAAATCACGAAAGTAGTACTGAACGCAAGTCCCCTAACACTAGAAAGGATTACGAGGAGTATTTCAACGCAACCGGATACACTTCCAAAAAAGTTTACTCCAGACGAAGCCTTAGCGTTGTTCATGGATTTGGGGCTATCCAAGGAAAAGTATTCCGTTCTACGCAGCGCTTTACTACAGCATAATGTAGACATTCTTCCCGGCTACAAGAAAATTTCATCTGCCAAAAAAGAAGTTGCGCCTCCAAATGCTGTGGTCAATAATACTTCTTTAAGTTTATTAGATATTGATAGCGACCAAGAAAACTAAAAAAAAGAAAGAAAAGAATAATAATTTAAATATAGTAAATAAGAAAAATATATTTAATACAAAGTGCACTTTTTTATACAAAAATATTCTTCTCTTCTTTTATTTTTTCTTTGACTAAAATCCCATTTTGAAGTTTGATTAATTTTAAAGCTAACAGAATTTTATGTTGAATGATTTTTGAAATATCTTTGCTCAAAATTACGATTACAATTACAACGCAAAATGAGCAAAGGCCCCACTGTGCGTCGCCGTCGCCGTCGCCTTCGCCGTCATCACATAATCTGCTTATTTTGCAACATAAGTGAAAAGTTCTGTCAACAAAATCAAAATCACGAAAAATTTGTTTGCCATTTAAATTCGATTTTGATCCTATTTATCCTGTAAATTGCAGCAATTGAAAGGATTTGCTGTGAGACGGCGAATCGACGACGACGACGACGACGACGATAGCCAAATCTCCCGTTTGCACTTCAGCAGATTTCTCTCTTTTTGAGGGGGGCTCCGCAAGTGTTTGATTTTCAAATTACCTTTTATTGGTATTGCGTGCATGTGTGTGAAAGGGGGCGTACGTACATGCTTGTGAGCGGGGGGAGGCGTAACGTATGACGTGTGCCGCTGTGACGGTGTGTAAACAGCTCTAACGGTATTAGCGTGCACAGCATATCATTCGAGCCGGGATATGGATATGGCCGCAGCTTTAAACAAAGCACTGACCCCGCTGAGCCAGCCGGAGGATATTGAAATTCAATAGCTGCAAAAAAGATGAGAAAAAGAAAGAGAAAGAGAAAGACCAAGCAGAACAAGAAACAAAGCAAACGGAAATCACTTCATAGACGTCGTAGACAAAGTAGCTGAAGTAGCAAAAGGAAACATGAAATGGAAATTGGCGACTGCGACAAATGGAAATCCCCAAGTGCGGGTCAAAGAAAATAAAACTTTATGCAAATGCGCCACTTTGGCCGTAAAATGAAATAGTCCCTGGCCAAATTATACCTGATGCCTGATGAGCTGACTTGCAATTGCCGTGAATTGAAACAAAAGGGACATCACCCACCCGCCGTTCACCCACCGTCCACCCCTCGCGCTGCCCATAAACTTTTGTTTCAACTGCCGCTGTGCGGAGCTCTGGGAACCAGCGCAGGTGACTTTAAGTTGCAAACTTTTGCATTTTACCTACTTTCCACGCATTTACATAGTGCACACACGGCGTCACATTCCGCCACGGAAGTTGTTACGAACACGTTTTGTCGCTGCGGATATGTTCCCTTTACAATTTTCTCTTCTATTTTTTATATTCATTTTTGCCTGGGCCACGGCTCTCATTATGATTGTTATTAAAGCGGGCTTTGGGAGGGAAAGTGTATTACAAGTAAAGTTGGTTAGATATCGAGCATTAGCTATGATATAGCTGTTATGATACAATCTATATATATATGTATACATGCATATACATATGTACATATGTAGACTTGCAGATATGTAATGTAATTTGAATAAATACAATTGTTTCATATTAAAAATATAATATGTATATTAAATATTTTATATAAATTGCAATAACATTTTAAATGATTTTCAATGGGTTCAGGATATAAAAATATATTATACAACATTAAAAATATGTATTATACAATATTAAATTAATATTATAAAATATAAAAAAAATACATAATATTAATAAATTATATATTATATATTTTTTACATTCTCTGCACAGCCTTCGGTTAGAGTATTCCAAGTACGACTTGCGATCGTATTTAAATGTTATTATTTTAGCTGTAGTTGCGCTCGTTTCGTCGCTCATTTTTGACCGGAAACGGAAGCCTGTTATTAATTTGCATGTCCGGCGGCGACAGCGACAACGCCGACCGCTAGGGCGACCACTGGGCAGCTCCACCTAAGCAGGTGGTTGCTCACATTCGCCTTCCCTTTGGCTAAGCGGCACACGCGTCTCTCTCTCTCTCTCTCTCTGTGTGTGTGTGGAATGTAGCTAATTAAATTTCGCATGCCCTTGCCGGAGCAGCTACTCTGCTATGCTCTTTCTTGACGTCCTCGCTGTCTTAATTGTGTTTGTGCTGCTCTATTTCAGCAAAGCGCACTCAAAGACAGCTTCACATTTTTTGTTTTCTCTTTTCTGCTACACTGCCACGCCCACACTAAGACCAACGCATTTATGTCTTTGCCCGAGTTTCACTCTAGCCCGGCCTGGTCTGGCCTGGTCTGGTCTGGTCTGTTCTTGGGCGCAACGTCTTAGGTGCTGTTTGCGCTAAAATAATTGAATTAATAATTGCTGCGTGTGGTTTTCATGCTTTTCCAGCTAAGAAAAGCGTACCCCATAAGCCTGAGCCCCGGCCGCAGTCTGAGTAAGTCGTGTGAAACTTTTATCTCTGCCAGCAGCAGCAGCAGCAGCCGCCGCTAACCCAAGCAGCCAGTCAGCCGACTCCTCCCTCTCCTGCTGCATGCCTTTACTTACACACTGATTTAATAAATTAACGTTAATTAGCTGTTGTGGTCGATGAAAGGGGGAGCGGGGAAGGGGAAGTGGAAGCCGCTGCTGCTGCTGCTGATACTCATGCTGTCTTAGCTTAAAGGACAATAATGCTAAAATCCAACACGCAACGTGGCAACTTTTCCGTTAGTACGTGATTTCCGGCGTTCGTTCAAGATTTGCCCGTTCGATATATGAATTATGAGCGGGCGAAGGCAGCTGGGAAAACAACCGGCACGGCAGCAACTCATTCTCCGCCGATAATTCACTAATTGACTCTGCATTTTTCTGCTTCTTATATCTTTGTTTGCCATGTGCGCAAAAGTGTGTTGGCGCTTGTTTGTTCATACCATTTTAATTAGCCAAATGAACAGCTACTAGAGCTCAAATCTGTTATTTACAGTTATACTATATTCTACTGCCTTATAGTAAGTGAAACTGAAATGAAAGGCCTTGAACTGTTGGCATATAATCTGTTAAAGAAATATTTCCATTTATTTCACATATAAATTTACAAGAATATGTGGGACTCTTAAGTAAATAAATTATATTTATATAAATTAATTAAAATTAAAAATTAAAGCAAAAATGCAGAATTTTTTAATGATAAATTAATTTATGAAATTTTATATATTTATTTGTATATAAATTTATTTTAAATACTAATATAAATATTTTGAAAACTAATATAAAATTTCATATACTTATTTGTTAAAAAATGTATGTAAATACTAATATATGGTACAAAATTCTATAGATAAATGATAAAAATATTAATTTAATTATCTAGGCATAGGTGAAGAAGTAGTAAAAACTGAAGTCAAACTTGGATCCGCACGAAACTTTCAAACATCTACATATTTCATATAAAAGATTTCTTTTAGCATGCAGAGAATTGTTACTGCTTGTTGCATGTTTATAATTAAAGGCTATATTACTCAATTATGTATGAGTGAATGAGTTCATTTGAAGTTATCAAAGTATGACTACGATTGGCCGCTGGGCCTGCCGCGGAGAGGGGGGAATCTAATTAAAGTGCGCATCGAAAGGCGGAAATGCAGCCCAGCTAGAGGACTGGCACTGCCTTTGCGGTCAAAGGTTAGCTCACTGACCGCAAGTGCCCAAAGGCTGTTTACCAGTTGAGCAGTTGAACAGTTGCTGCTGCTCCTTGAGACATCTGCTGAGCAAACGAAGTCGATGGCAACAATGGAACCGGGCAAAGCGCTGCCAGCTAAGGACGTCGTATGTGACAATTGGACACAGGCAGCTACACAGCATGGCTAGCCAGCATTTAAATTGAAATTAACATCCTGTTGGTCTACAGCGCAATGGCCTGCAGGCAGCACTTCAGCAATATGCTTCAATGCCAAAAGAAATGCTGCTCCAATTATGGCCAAAGCAAAGTCAACTCAAAGCCGTTGCCCAACTCGATGAGAAACTTGGCCAACAAGTGGCGCGAGTGGCAAAGGCAAAGTGTCAGGCAAACATCAGACTGTGGGCGCCCTAGACAAACACTCACAAGGCACACACACACACACCCGTACGCACACATACTGACAAACAGACAGACAAAGTAAGAGACACACACGTAATTAAGAGGCCATTGTTGTTTCGCTGACAAAAGTGAAAGATGTCTTGATGGATAACGTGGTTGCGTTTTCCCATTCCCATACGCCGTTGACACTTCAAAGTGTGAATGAGTCGCTATCTGTACGTGTGTGTGTGTGTGTGTGTGTGTGTGTGTCTTGTGAGCTTGGCTTTTGATGTAATCAGCTTGCAGCTAGCTAGCTCATTCAGCACTCAGCCTGACACATTATCCCCAATCTTGCAATTATTCTTACCTCAGCCTTTGACGACAGCAATTAAAAGACTCACACATATGCAAACACACAAACGCGACAGACAGCTAATTCATTGAGTGAATATACACATGTGTGTATGTGTGTGTGTGTGCTGATGTATGCATAAATATATAATGTGTTTGCCTTGTTAGTGGCTGGCGGTATCACTTTATTTTGCGGAAGGATTAAATTAATGCCAAACGTGTGCTCTGTTTTGTTGTTTTAGGCAACACACACACAGAGACACATACACCCACTCACACACACACAAGTGAATGCCTGCCATAGACAAACAACGTGTGGAAACCGCTACTTACACTAGTTAGCTAATAAAATTAGTTTTATTAACACGTACTACGACAAGTGCCAACAGCAGCTAAACACACACACGCACACACTCACACTCACACACACACACAGTTTATATGCCCGTGTGCGTGTGTCAATTGGCTTTAAGTGTTAATTGCATGTAAAACTATTAAATGCTCACTGACTACGCAACTGCTAGCTCAATGTGTTTAAAGACACAGCAAGGAGACGAGCTGGCGATATTCGTTGCCTACTTTTGAGCGCAATCAAAGTGGGAGGAGTCCAAGCAGGATGAATTGGGAATAAGTTGATGCTATTTAAGTTATTAAATTTAAAGATTATTGAATTTAAAGATTAAATAGGGTAAATCAAGACTATGAGAATTTAATCGCATATCGAGTTTATCACTCATCCCGTTATTTTGTTTACGATAGTAATCCTATCGAAAAGCAGCTCTAAAATTATATCTCCTACATCTTTAAAGCTAAAGTCTCCAAATTTTAAATATATATTGAGACGCATTTTATAGAGTTTCGGTTTTTGTATATAGCACAAGAATAATAAAATGTATATATGTATATATTTATATGAGTAGCTTCAATTTGTATTTGCTTAATTTTTTTTTTTTTTTGTTAATTTCTTTTTAAAATTATTTTCATTTCCAGCAGCTTCTGTCCTTAGCTCTATAGCGCAGTTTAAAGCAAGTAAGAAAGTTGTAGTCGGGTGTTAGCGACTGCGAAATACTCATTCACATATTCCGAAGCTTTTTGGTCTGGGTTGGTCAGCCCAAGTATATATACAAAATTTGAGGGTCTGGCATCAATAGTGTCCAAAATATTGCAGAATTTCAAAAATCACTATATCTTCAGGTCCGATTTGCCACGCCCCTAGTGGACGGATCGGACAAATTTTTATCTTGTGAAAAATAATCAGTTTTCATATTTATTTCTTTATTATTATAATTTTTTTTTTTTTTTTTTTTTATATATGCCTGCATGTTAATGGTTCAGCTTAACCCTGATTTCCGAATGGTCTGCCCCTGTTTGCACCTCTGTTCCGGTTTCTTCTCCTTCGCATCAATTGAGCCCTTCTCCTTTGGGCGAGCAGGCGCCTTCGGCGATTCCTCCTTCTGCGTTGGGCCCTTCTTTGATTCCTCAACATGCGGCGCAAGCGAGCCTGCAGTCGAGCCACTTGAGCCTCCGCTGCACTAGTAGTCGTCTCAGAGCCGGAATTGGAGACAGTTGTAGCTCCTGCACCTCCAGGAGCGGATGTCGCTCCTCCCGGAGCGGCCGTCGATCCTCCCGGAGCGGCCGTCGATCCTCCCGGAGCGGCCGTCGATCCTCCCGGAGCGGCCGTCGATTCGCAGCTAATATCCGTTGGAATCAGGCAAATGGCCAAGAAGGCACAGCCCAGAATAAGCGTTAGTATTCTCATCTCGATATCGCGAAGTTCGTTTCGAATGCCAAATTGTGGCAGGTGGCGTCCAATTTATACAGATTTGGAGTTTGCGAATTTGTACTTTCGTGTTTGTTTTGCGTGAATTGAAGCATTTACCATCTGTGACAACAAATGCAAAACATTGTCAAATATTCAAATGTCTGTTTAATGAATTCGTATACTTAACAGTGAAAACAATCAATCAGTCAGATACAAATAACTTTATCAATGTGTTCCTTAATAATAATATACGAAGTAGAACTCGTATTCGAATGGGTTTATTAAGCAAATTCCGCAATAATTATTATTTAATGGGTGACATCTTGTAATTCTCTTATTTTTGATGTCGTAAACAAGAATCAAGCGAATCATTCGATGCGGATTGTTCCGATTAACTTCAGGTGAATAGTTTCATTATGTTAGGTCTGAAAGATGATTAAGAGCATCATTTCGGCGGCTTACTAAACGCATACGGTATACATTTTTTGAATAAATATATGAACAGCTGGCTAAAGCAATAATATTTACGAGTGTAGTGCGCGGTTTTTCCTTCGAACTTAGCTGTTTGAAGAAGATTGACGCACATTGCGCTTTATTTTATCATTATCATTGAAAATGGGGAATCAGGGTATAATGGTTTTGTGAAAAGTATGAAATGGGCAGAAGAAATTATCGCAGACCCCATAAAGTATATATATTCTTGATCAGCACGACGAGCCGAGTCGATATAGCCATGTCCGTCTGTCCGTCTGTCCGTCTGTCCGTCTATCCGTCCGTCCGTCAGTATGAGTTCGTCGATCTCAGAATATACAAAAGCTAGAGAACTGCAGTTTTGTGTGCATATACGTGTATACCATACGCAGTACGACCATACGATGTAGACATACAACAAAAGAAGTTATTCAACAAATAAATTCTCAGTCGCTGCTTACTGCGCAGCTAGCAGAGCGGGGGCGCGTGAGGGTGGATGCATATGTATGTATATGTGCGTGCATAAAAGAAGTGCAGAGCGATAAGAATATCAGCTTGGAGGGTTCAGGGTATTTCCTAGTCGAGCAGTCTCGACTAGAGCCGTCTTACTTGTTTATATATTATTCGCGAAAGCAAATGGAGGAGGTATGGCAAAGGCGGAGAATTCGCGAATTTTAAATAAATAAAGGTTTTTTTTATTAATACTAATATTGATTACTATAAATATATAATATATAAATATATTATATTGGATAATAGAAAATTTGAATGATAGAGAAAACCCTGAGTTAGTCATGAGTCCAGGAACTACTGTTACCTTATCCCCTGATATTTCTCTCACTTACGAGGTCAGCTATATGGGATATCCTATATCATCATGTATTCCATGAGCCATACAAATTGCCAGTTAATTGGAGCGCTGACATCAGCAAAGTCAGCCAGCTAGCCAGATAGCCAGCCAGATGAAATTTGACGACAGTGGGCAAGCTAGATGACGGCGTCTGCAATTACCACTCGCACACTGGCCAACATAATTAATGTTAATAAATAATAAATTTACATATACAAAACTGAGCGGCCGAGTGTGCGCCCCGGCCGCAAATGCGTGTAATACAAGACAAATTCGGGCCGAAAGTGAATGGCATACAAATCTGTGTAATTAAAAGCGCCATTCACCAGCCGAATATGCGGAGGTGGGGGAGTGGGGCTGACCGAGGGAGGAGTGGCACGATGCCAGCGGAGAGATAACATGCAAAAAGTTTTGGCCGGAAACGTTTAATTAACTTGTTTGTTTCGTCTGGCCACAATTCATATGCGAAACGTATCGAGCAATTAAAAATCTTGGCCCGAAAGAAATTGAAAGTAGCCAGAATATCAAATGTAATGCGTGCCATGCGCCATCAGAGATTGCCTAGAGATAGAGTGTAGCTCGGAGAGGACATTGCATTAACCGGAGCACACACAGCAGTCCGGCCGGAGTCGGAGTACAGCCGCAGCTGTAAACTTGGCATCAAGTTCCATTTGGCACTTGGCGGAAACTTTCAAGAAAATTAACCGCATTTCGAATGCAGCAGCAACAATCTTTTGTAACTTGACAAAACATATCTAGTTACATTTATTGAATTGTTTCATGTGTGTTTGATAACTATTCGACAGAGTGTCCCAGTGTGTGTGTGTCAGTTTGTATTTGAGTTTTGGCAATTTGCACTTATTCAGTTGCTTCAGTTTTACTTTGGCAACATTGCAGCCGAGCAAAGTTTTTCAATTAGACATGCCAAGACCCAAAAGCATCGCAACGATGCGGAAGTGTGCCTGGCATCAGTGTCCAGCCTCAGTCCGTCTCAGGCTCAAAGGGTTGATTTTCTCTCTCACTCACTTGACTGGGACAGCTCTGCTCAGCTCTGCCTGGCTTCAGCTTCAGCTTCAGCTTCAGCTGCCATCAGCCATAATCAATCGAAATCCAGCGCAGAGCTCACGTCAAGCGTAAAGATAAGAGGCAGCCGCCTTTCAGCTTAAAACAACAAATTAATTAGCATTCATTGCCGCCCAATTGAGCTTGTAAATATTTAATTAATCGCCGATTTGTGCAAGCGGCCAAAATGCCGAAGGCAGCAAAGCGACACGAAATGCCGGCAATCAATTAAAACAGCTGATGAATGGGCCTGGCTGACATGAGAAGCGCGTAGAGGGGCGCGTTTGCAGCAACCAAACCAAGTAACCAAACAAGCAAAAATCAACTATGGTTTATTTAAAGAGGAAGTTTTCTGACTAAATAATCCATAATTTTTTATTAAATTTGATCGTATATACTTATATGTAGGTTATGCATTTTTAAAATACTACTTACTCCACATGGAACTAGAAGAGTTCTGACATGAAGTCCGATCAAGTCATCCATATGTAGAGATTTAATTATATGCACGATTTTATCGGGCTTAAAAGAGCTGATTTGGAGTCAGATATAATCATTCATATATAGATCTCTATGTAAAATAAATGAACAGCAAATCAGTAGAAAATCTTGAAAATATCTGTTAAAAAACCCAACAAATGCTTGCTCCTGTCCGATTTGCCTCATCCATTTAATTTCTTATGAATCTATAGATACAACAATAGGTTTGCCATGTTTCAAGATTGCCACCTCCTTAGCCACGCCCACAACAGATGCAACGCAAGTGACCTTGAGATGCCTACACCACATACGAGCATATTATTAAAACACCAAAAGATGTTAGTTACATTTTAATGTTATACTCAAGCTCTGTCGCCTGAGAATCACCGAGAGAGGCTTTAAAAATGTTCGGCAAACACAAGGCAGCTTGTGCGCCAACATTCAGCTGGCTGCTAGAATGCCCCCAAGGACTTTAGCTAAAACAAACAAGCACACACACACACACAGTAAAAGCAGGAGCAGCAGGAGTAGCAACAGTGGAAGGAGAGTAGAGTATCTCACAAACACACACACATATGAGTCAAGTTTTAATTTGCTCGCTCTCTCGCTCTCTCTCTCTCTCTCTCTTACTCTGTGTCTCATATGTGAAAACAAAGTCACTTCGACACTCCACAACAAAAGATGCCAATTTAATCTAGTTCTAGTGCCTGCTGGCCACATGGGACACTTAAAACCACTGGACAGCAGGGCAGCCAGACTCAGCACAGGAAATGACTTCAGTGCCAGCCCAGCTGCTGGTGGTGCTACTCCTGCTACTCCTGCTCTTACTGTGTGTGTGTGTGTTAGCATGAGGCTGGCGCCAGCAGGTAACTTCCGGCATAGTCAAATTGAAAATGGCATTGGATGCCACAGGACGGCCAACCACTTGGCCAGCTGCTCCACTTTTTGTGGCTAAAGTGTAAAGCTGTGAAGCTCAGAGACTCGAGCAGGAGCCGGAGCTGGAGTAAAAGTTGGGCACTCGTAAAGTGTGACAAATTGAATTAATGCCGCTGCAAATGGCAAAGTCTTTTCGAGCTGGTCACCGTAATTGTTTAATACGCATTCTTAATTAAGGCGCAGCGCGCACTGAAGCTGCCCAGCTGAGCTTGGCCCCAACCTGAACCCGACCGAATGCGAGCTCCGTGAACTGCGACCGGCACTTGACTTATGGCACAAGAGCGCAGACACAAATCTTTATGATGTGGCCGACGCTGCGTCGTATGTGTGGCACGGTTAAGTAAGAAAAACTACAGTTTCCACTTAAGGCCGTAAGCCACGTGCGACACACACAGAGACACTTGGCAGCAAGTCGACTTCAGTCCAGTCGAGTTGAGTTGAGGCGCTGCAAATGGCAACCGTAGAGTGGACATGGACAAAAACGCAGTGTGGCTGGGCTGGCAATGCGGCGACGCATTGTTGGGGCTCATAACTCAGGGGCTCTGGTGACAAAAACCTGTGCAAAATGTGTGCGCATGTGTGTGTGTGTGTGTGTGTGTGGCTAGAATCTTAAAGATAAATAAGCAGACGTGGCTGAACTTTGACCCCAAAAAATAAAAACCGCAAAAAGCAAAAGGGCAAAAAACGCAACGAAAATAAAAGACGACAACGATTATGACGCTGCCCGAGCTCAGCGAAGCGCAACTGATGAAGCCCACTTAGACGAGGTGTCCCCAACTGGACAGCGGTCAGCGGTCAGCGCGACGCGCTGGCAACATTTGCCGTTGACAGAGCGCAAGCCAAAGAATGAAAGAAGAAAAGCAGCAGCAGCTGTGTGTGTGTGTGTTTGTAGTACTTGGGGTCGTCTGGACAAACATTGCGGGGCGACGACAACGACGACGACGATGATGATGACGACCGGACATGACCAAATGAAAATGTGTAGCCCTGGCCTCAGGCCCCGCGGCGCTGCTGACGCCGTCTTGGGCCTGGGATCCGGGTCTGCTTAGACCGAACTGGGACTGCGCAATTATTACTTCAAGTTTTCATTTGCTTTTGTTGCGGCCATGTCTGTAGGTGCACCAAGGATATCAGGAAGCTGCCCTCAGCAGCGCCTTCGCCTCGGCTGGCGCGCAGTTTGTAATTTCGCTTCCTGCGT